TCCTTTCTCACTAATTGATACCCTCTGCTGGACTGCAAACCAAAGCACAGTTGCCCTCTACAGCCAAACTTCTCACAGATTTTTTCCCTGGAAAACAAAGGCAGAGTCCCCCCTCCCCCAGCCCCAAAACACAACCTGCCCCACAACAAAGAAAATGAATTCAAGAATATTTATCTGTGAGAAAACAAACTCTCTCAATGAGAGAAGCAACATGCCAATAAAATCTCCTGGAATACTTATCGAGATAGGTTGGCGCAATCTTCCATGTCTGGAACTTAGGGCCCATGAAACAATCTTCAAAAGCCAATCAAATCTTACCTAGATGGGAGTAGACTCTGTCAGTGCTTTCCACATAACAGCATTCCATTCCATCAGCCACTTCAGGACAGTTAGCTGAAATCAGCTTGTGGCACCAAAGCCACCCCAAAGCAGCTCATAGGCACAGAGACCATGTGAGCCTTTTTGCACAAGCCTCTTGCCTGTGGGGAGCCCAGATGAGCCCCCAGATGTAAAGGCCAGGATTGGATATATTGTCCACAGGAGAACAAATTACGGGAATTACAGAGCCTTTATTAGCCCCTCACCAATGAGCTTCCCCTTTCCAAATTGGAAACCACAAAGGCTCAGTTCTTTGTTCCCTACCCACTTTTATAGTTTCTTTGTTGCTATGGAAACTGGGCAGGAATGTGGTGCTCCATATATCCTACAGGTGTGGGGTCATGGAAAAATATGTTGCTTCTATATCCTATAGGTGCGAGGACTCAAGAAGATGGATTTATAGGTAAGCACGAGCAAAAAGTCTGCATCTTATTGCCCCAAATGGTTTGTGTGTCCTCTTTATTGCCTACATGTTTGTGAAATTCTAACAGGGCAAGGGAGTGAGGAATGGGGCAATTCAGGCAAGTATTTACTTTTATGTAAATACTTCAGGAAAGGGTCAAACTAAATTGAATTCTGCCTCAATCTCTTCTATTTCTAAAAGTGAACAAGGTACTATGCTAGAGGCTATTCCTTACACTGTGAAGCTACAGAAGGATGGATGGCTGTTGCTCCATCTGAGCAGAACTTTGATGGTGAAAAAGAGACCTAAGGGACCCACTATGTCCTCTCTCTTCCCCTCTACTTTTGGCTTCTCTGGTCACTCTGGAGCCATCTAGAGTTGTAGCAACTTAGTATTGATCACTAACTCCATAGGCTCACCCTTTCTGGGGTGATGCTAGAGGACAAGGAGACCTGGTAGGCTATGGGTTTAGAACCTAGAGCTCTTGGGCATGTCCCATGGCCTGAACCTCTTTCCTGATCTCTTCCTCGCAATCTGCACAGGTATCCTTCCCAGACAATACACCTAGGCTCACCTCTCATAGAACACTATCCTGGCCCTGGCGCTGAGTTCAACCCAGGGGTGCTGCTGGTTGGGGTCCCTGTGTATAACCCTACAATCTTCTAAACCTGCATTCCTGAGAGTCTTCTAAGACTCAGCAGTAGACAGTAGAGATTGCAATAAGACATGTAACCCCACCTTCTCAAGACAGAGGAGAGCAAGCAGCAGTGTACCAAGTAGCAGCAGGAGAGAGGCCAGCCCTGCACTGCCCAGCATGGCAGCCTCCTCATCCTCTATAGGTCTTCAGCTCTAGCTTGGGCCCAGTCCCAGGTGTGTAACACCTGCAGGCTGAGCAGGGTTCCTAGCGAGAGCCAGGCCACAATTGGGGAAGGAGCAGACTATGTGGACACAAGCCATTCCTTTCAGCCTGGCCCTTCCCCTTGCTCCTCTCAATCCTGGTACTGCTTGTGTCCCAAAGAACCTAGAACCTTAATTTAGGAGTCTGGCTCTACTCTGAGATCTGATAGTACTCATCAACATTTGTTACCACCCAAGTCTCTATAGGCCTCACTTTACCTGTAATGAAATGAGACTATCTATGCAAATCTTAAGAAATTTTGGATCCATCATTTTTTCAAGACAAGCGCCCTGTCCTCCAACTTGTTGGCATGTTGTTAATATCACTTCTTTCCTCCAACATTGTGGGGGGGGGGTTGTGTGTGCTTCATCAGGCAGCAGCGGAACTGGACCTTTCACAGTTACATTAGGATGGCTTTTTTGATCTTGGTAAAAAAAAATAGTGTACAGTGAATGAAATAATGATACCATTTCTACTCTCAAAAAATATTTTTAAAAACCCCTCTGTTTCTGCATCAGTGGTGTGTACCATGCACCTGCAGCCTCTATCAGATTCTAAAGCTTGTGCAAAACAGCCAACAAGATAACTTCCTGCCTGGATGGGTATAAATCCACTCCTACTTTACAGCCCCTATGCAGATGTCATTGGTCACAAACAGATGAATTAAGTGGACATAATATCCAACCTGAACTGTAAGTCTTTAGGTCTTTGAAGATGACACTGGTAAACAGCATTCCTTATCCCCAATATGATATATTTCATTTATTATTCTGAGAGAGCAGAGATGGAGGAGACTTGGAATTTATCATCTGTATAAAGGTCTAGGATAAAAATTGTTCAGTTTCCCAGTCATACAGGATGTTACACAAATTCCATTCTCCTTTGAAGAGTGACAGCACAATTCACAAGCTTAAAGCAGTAGTCATGATTGTGCTCACTGTAATTCATTAAACACAGGCACCAACCCTATCTTATTGACTTTAGATTGCCTTGTTGTTCTGGGAACATTCTTTGGAGCTAATTCTTGCAGTGAATTACAGGTGAGAAACTTGCATAAAGTCTAAAACTTGGGTTTGAAATTATTGCTGGGGTAGCTACCTGCCACTGTCCAACATTATTTATGTGACTTTGTGTTCAATAGACCTTCTAGATTCCCATCTACTAGATCCAAGTATACTGAACTTTCCCCTTTCTCCATGCAGGTCACACCAGAGTGTAGGTAGCCAGAATCCTCCTTTGTAAAGGCATCTGCTTGTGGCAGTGTGCACCTCTGGTTGCTTGCAGAATGAAAGATTACTCAGAGATGAGACTTACTTCTGTCACTGAGAGAGCCCAGAATGGCTCATTCTTGAGCTTAAGAGAACCTCAGGGAAACAGCAGTGAGCTGCAAACTCTGTGGTTATTTATTGCTAACTCAAGGACCTGAGAACAAAGAGGTAGAAAAAAAGCACTTTACAACAGAATATATGTGCGTTTTGGTCATGGGACAAGGAGGGGACAGGATGGCTTCTTGTGTGATGTATGATAACATACTTTAAGGCTGGGACTGCCAAGGCTATGCTCAGGAAGGAAACCACGACTCAGGGTCTGCAGTATCCCAAAACCAGGCCTTGGCTCAGCAGTCAGGACAATCCATCCTATGTGTCCAGGCTGTGGTGACCTCCCACTGAGAATCACACTCGCAGTTCTCCCACAGTACCAGAACTTCAGAACAGTGTGTGTCTTAGTTGAGAAATGTTTTGCAGAAGCCAAGTCCCAGGTGTCTACTTGGATGGCACCCACAGGGACACAATTCACTAGGGAGACCACCACACAGTCCAGATGCTCTACGAGGTAGCGCAGTGTGAAGAGAGGGATTGTGGAACCTTCCTGCCTCACCCATGTCAGCCGCCCGGTCCTCCTGCTCACTCTCACTATCCTGCAGGGGTCCTCATGCTGATTCTCCTCTCATGGCCACTCCACAGACCCTGGCCTCTCCTTCCACCTGCACACAGATCTGCCTTCAGGCTTCAGCCCTGTGCAGGCTCGGGTAGGGGAGTAACACTGAGGGGCTCATCTCTGCACAAATCATCCAACATGCACCACTCTGGGAGTTGATTCTGCTGAGTGACATGGACTCTTGTCTGAGTCAGGTCACAGGTCTGACCCTGGCACTGTCCGTCAATGAATGGCAGGATCCAGCATCATGCAGGCTGGCAAGACCAGGACCTTAGAGAAGTAGTGTTCACAGAGACCACACAGTCTGTGGTGGGTTTCTCAGTCAGTTCTTTTCTGACACTTTAATAAGAATACATAAGACCCTGATGGACAGGGAGAGGGGGAGCAATAGACTGAGTTTTTAATGCCAATTGCTAGTCTGTTGTGGGAAAGAAGCTGTCACTCAGGAAAACAAAGACCACATGTTAAATGAGAGTAAAAGTTTGATGAATCCACAGAAGCAAGTGGTGGCTTAACAAGCAAATGTCATAGAGGAAATGAATTAGTGAAATGGATCGTGGCACCATTCCACCTTCTAATGAAATGAAAGTGATGTGACAAAAGTGTACCAGGGAAAGCCAGATAGAGGTGGGAAAAGATGAGATTCTACCCAGTTCTTTCCATGCACCGGCAGGTACAGTGTTCTGCACTAGTACATTCCACAGCACGGGCAGAAATGCTCCATGACAGAAATTCCTAACTGGATCTATATCAATCTGCTTCTGCCATTGCAATCCAACCAATAGTGATGGAAGCATACAATAACTTAAGTAACTATAAAAATCAATCTCAACTACAAGCATCTTAGGTCTTTAAAGAAGACATTATATACATCATAATCCATCTTGAGATTCAGGACTTTTTATTGCTGTTGTGCATAGGGTAGAAATGGGGAAAGATTGGAATTTATCATCTGTATAAAGGTTCAGGTAGGAAATGTATTAAAACTTTTCAAGAATGTGAGCGATGTTTCAAGCATTCCACTCTGCCTTTGCAAGGTAAAATCACCATTGACAAACTGAAAGGGCACTTGCTCAGCAGAATGACTTCCAGGCCCTGCTGAGAACAGAGTCATCAGTGAGGCAGTCTCAACTGGAGAAGCCACCTGGGAGCAAGAGACGAAGAGCATCCCCTAGATTGTGGCCATGTACCCTCACCCCAACACCCAGGGTCTCTGAGACTGAGCCCTGCTCTGGATACACAAAGCTCTTCAAGAAGTAGAACTCAGCTTGAGCTGATTTGCATAATCAGTGGGCAGCTTTCTGCAGCAAGAAGATAAGAGGGGACTGGGAAGAAGCCAGCCCAGCCTGGACCCCAGAAAGCAGCATCACCTATATCTCCACCATGGCCTGGGCCCTGCTCTTCCTCTGGCTGCTGGCTCACTGCATAGGTACTTCCTTAGGACTGAACCCACTGATGGAGGTCAAGGCTCTGGGAACAGCCTGGCCCTCACTCTCAGCAGATGAGTTGCCTGCCTGTGTGGGCAGAATTCTCAGGAATCTATTGCAGGAAGGGGGACTGGGAGGCTATGTTTCTCACACTGTGTTCACTGACCTGTCTGGGTGATAGAGGTTACAGCTCTCAGGAAGCAGCAGTCAGTTCGCCATGAGCTCAAAGCCTCTGTTCTCCAGTAACCTCCAAGATCACTGATGGACACTGATGAGAGGAGGCTCCTAGGGCCCAGGGAACATGTGATCTTCACCCAAGCCCTGCAGAATCCTTCCAAAATCTTGGAAGGATTTTTCACAGACTAACACTTTCTCTCTTGTTTTTACAGACTCCATGGCCTCTTACACTCTCACTCAGCCGCCATCAGTGTCAGTGACATCAAGAGAGACAGCCGAAATCACATGCTCTGGAGAAAACCTGGAGGATAAATATGCATCTTGGTGCCAGCAGAAGCCAGGCCAGGCTCCTTTGCTACTCATCTATGCAGATAGCAATTGGCCTTCAGGGATTCCTGATCGATTCTCTGGTTCTAACTCAGGGAATGTGGCCATACTGACCATCACAGGAACACAAGATGGGGATGAGGCTTTCTATTACTGTGCTGCAGTAGATGGCACTGGTAGCAGCTTTCAGTGACTCACAGTGACACTGACAGATGAAGCCATGGGACACAAACCTCACCAGGCATGGCCTCGGTGATATTTGCCCTCTGAGCCACAACTGTGACCTTGGTCTCCACTCACTGAGACTGTTTTTCCAGAGGCCCAAGCCATTTAAAATGTGATTCTTTCCCAGAATTAGTTTCACTTTAAGTCAACGTTGATTTATTTTAATCCATGACCCTGCTGAAACTCGTTCACAGGGTCCTGGAGTAAAAAATGTCTCCAGAGAGCCTGGTTTCTGCTTGAGACTCTAACACTTGCTTTCACCTTTTTCAACACAGCATATACAGGAGGAAAACTCACTAGGACACCTATGTCTCTGGGAATGAATCCTTGAAATAGGACAAAGGAATGCAAGTCCCATGAAAGAGTATCTGCAGGATGAAATGGGCTGTTCTGTCCACACTCATTTTATGTGTCAGAAAACAAATCATTCTACCTTGCGTGTGACTAAGAAGTGTGCACCTCTTCATCTGTGAGCAAGGATAGAAATATCTTTGTACAAGGCATTTCATGCCATTAAAAATAACTTAGCCTTGTTACAAATCCCATAGGTCAAATTTGGAACTCTACGTAAGACTGACACTGTCTTGGCTACTCTTCTTTCACTGCTGCTGTAAAATACCCAACCAATAGGGTAGAAACGGGGAAAGATTGGAATTTATGATCTGTATAAAGGTTCAGGTCGGAAATGTATTAAAATTTTTCAGCAATGTGAGTGGTGTTTCAAGCATTCCACTCTGCCTTTGCAGGGTAAAATCACCATTGACAAAGTTGAATCACCAAAGTTAAAGAGGGAAAGGTTTATTTGGCTCACAGTTAGTGGTGCTTTTAGTCCATAATTAGCCAGGTCCAAGGTAGGGTGGCATAGGTGAGGGGCAGCAGTTCAAGCCAGCAGAAGACAACAAAGCAACAAGAGCAAAGATGGGGGAGAACAAGCCTCTTTTCCCTCCTTAAATTGTAAGCAGACTACCGCCCTTGGGTGGGGGCAGCACTCCACCATCTCTGTGCCCTTCTCTTACTCACGCTCAGGAAATTTACAATGTGAGGACACTGGTACCCTACTGAGTCACTTAGTTAAACTTCTCAACTCAAACTGACACCATGAACAACACCCTAGAGTGGTATGGTCGTGTGGTCAGACCGGAGATGTAGTAGTGCTGAGTTACTTAGTTAAGCTTCACATTGACAGTGCATCAGCCATCACAGACACGAACACTAGTTTCTGCTCCTCTCGTGCCCATCATTATGGTAGAGTCTGCTGGATCCTATGAGCCACACCACAGTATCACTGCAGCCTCTGCTGCACTGTCTCCCTGCTCAGGGACTCAACACCACCCCAACCTTCCTCCCTCGCATCACTTGGGTTGGAGCTCCAGCCTCCACTGTGAATAAACCACTCCCAGAAACCAACTTGGTCAGAAAGTGTCCCTGCTTCTTCTTGTTGAGAAGAGTTGAACACAGAAAGTATCTATTTACTAGCAGATGATCTAGATAGCAGAAAACAACCAGATTCCAGTCATGTCTCCTCATAAAAATGACTCTTATTATGGTTTCCTTTGCCTTAACTGATTTTATGTGTCCAGCTGAGCATTCCTATATACTTTCCACTTCAAGTAAGTAGTAATTGGAGGATTCAGTTATCATGACTTGGGAGAGCGAGCTCTGCAAGTCTTGCTGAGCCACCAATGGCGCAAGGCTGTGTGCATGGTGTATCACGGAAGGGGAAGGGGCCAGTACAGATGTGTGTTGCTGGCCATTCCGCATGAATGCACACGGTCGCTCAGCCCTCAGTTTCCAGATCAATGGTGCATATTGTGCACCTGCAGAAATGCTATTCTGTTTAGAGAAGTTTCCATGTCCTGTGCAGATATTGAAAATAGGGCTCCAGCTGAACTGGATCTGTTGAAATCTATTCCACCTTCCCGGATCCATTCAAACTTGTAGGGTCGGGTCAGTCAATTAAACATACATAGAATCCAGCCACAACCCATGACTGTGCCATTTCTCCCACCTGAGTGAAGTGTGAAAATTATTTTTTTTTAATTTTATTTATTTATGTGTGTGTGTGTGTGTGTGTGTGTGTGTGGCCAGCTCAGCTCACCAGGGGGCGGGGCTGGCTGGCATGTGGTGCTGGGGGATTGAACGGTGGTCCATGTGCTTCGTTAAGCTTGTTCTAAGTAGGTGCTTTAGACCACTGAGCCATCTCACCAGCCCCAGTATGAAAATTATTAATCGCCATGCCTAGAGTGTAGATGGGAAGACACCTCATTTGTCATGTGCATCACTGACTGGACAGGACTCTGCAGTGAGCTCCAGCTCTCAGGACTTTGACTGCACCAGAACTCTCAGCTTGCCGACAGCCCTTGTGCTTTCTTCCAGGTGACCACTGTGAGCCTACCTTGCAAATCCCTATATATTATATATAATGGTGGGGACAGGAATTGAACTCATGACCTTGCACTTGCCAAGCAGGTGCTGTGTTGCACAACTATATCCCCAGTCCTACTACTAAATATTTTTTACCTTCTAGTGAACCTAACTGATACAAGTTATCAACAGGATTCACAGAATGAGTTGTTATATTTTTGCCAAAATGACAAAAAATGGAGAGCTCCAGAGTGTGTAATATTTTTCCAGGAAAAACATGGCACAAAGGTACAGGAACTGGACCTTCCCTGACTCTCTGCACACCATGATGACACCTCCCTGTGCTGCACTGGGAAGGGCAGGAAGCGTGCAGCTAATGGAGGGTGAAACCTGTCTCCCTGTCCCTGTCCTCTTAACTGACAGGGGCTTGGGGGTGACCTAAAGGAAAGATCCAGCTCTAAAACTCCTCTACCAGTAGGGGGCAGCGGATCCAAAGCTAGGGGGAGAAACTGGGTACAAGGGGTTTGGCAAAGGAGTTACCAAGTGCTAAGATTAGTCCTTGGATTAGAACACAAGAAATGCCCTATGTCCTATACCCTGGGCTTCAGTGATCACATTCTTAGAGACAGATTTTCACAGTCACACCAGGAAGATAGTGGGAGTCCAGGCATAGTGGGGCCGTCATCTCAGATATCAGCCTAGGTAGCTCTTGCCAGACTGAATTCCCTAGAGGGACCACCCCAAGGTCCAGGCGCTATAAGAGGGGACTGAGTGTGAGAGGATAGGGCAGCACTCCCAGGGTCTGTGTTCTTCACCCAGGATGGCTGCCTGGGCTTCCTGCCCACTCTCAAGGTACTGTGTCTCACGGTTCTCCAGTGGTCCCAGCATTGGACCCCTACTCCAGAGACACCTACTCCTTCCTGGCCTCTGCTGTCACCTCCATGAAGATATGGCCTCAGGCTATAAGTCCTTTGCACAAGTGCAGTCTCAGGTTGGAAGGGAGTCCTCAAGGCCTCAGCCTGGATGGCGCATCTCCAGCCTCCTGGTGAAGAACCCATAGATCTACATGGACTCCCTGTGGTAGGCCACTGCTCTGACCATGGCACAGACCCAGTCAGTGGTAAGACACGCATCACTGGAGTCCCCACCATCATGCACCATGCAGACTTCTGTCCTAGGAAAGGCCAGAAGGCCAAGGAACCAATCTACCTTATGTAGATTCCATGGAGCCTACAGATGGACTCTCCTTCAGATCAGGCTGTGGATAACTTTTTCAAGATCACACAAATTATTAATGGGAGAAAAAAAATAGATAATTAACTTATCAATTGCTAGTATATTGTGTAATAGAGGATGTCAAATAACACATATAAAGAGGTTAGAAATTCCAGTGAGTCAATAAAAGCAAAGAGTTGGTAAAACACACAAGATCTAATTAGTAACTATTGCAAAAAACAGGAAAAGTAAAAACACTTTGGACCTGCTAAAGAAATACTTTTCAACTGTATTAGCTGAGAGACAATACGTGGCACCCACGACTTAAAAGAGGAGAAGCACCACACTTTCAGGGGATTCCGTCCATAATCAGCTGGCTCCTGGGCAGAAAAATGATGACAGAGGGAGTGACAAGAAAAGATGCTGAGTTATGATGGCCCAGAAGGAAAGGACGGAGTGGTGCCAGAGAGGCAGGGCTGGAGTCCACACAAGTACCAAAGGGCACACCTCCATGACCCACTTGTTATACCCTACAGTGTGGTTCACTAATTCTCTAGGTAGGTACCCATCCAAGCAAGTTGACCTAGTTAAGCTTAAGCACCACACCAATCCAACTGCTTGTGTCCTTGGGACAGGAGAATTCCACAGAAAGAAACAAACCCAACCTATGAACTGAGAGGATAAATTTTGAAAATTCTGTTTGGAAAATTTAAGTGTGTCTATGAGAACAAGCTTTGCTTTGTTTTGTTTGTTTTGAGATAGGGCTTTGCTAACTTGCTCTGCCTTGTAAAATTCCTGTCTCAGCCTCCCAGAGGCCAGAGACTGCAGGAAGGCATCACCAGTTCCCAAAGAAAAATGTCACATGTGAAAAGATTTAACCAATGCCCTAATGACCCAGGGTGAGTTCATAGTGACACACATGAGACCGAACGTACATCGAGGGAACCAGAGATTTCAAGGAAGAGGAAGGAAAGGTGTCCATAGTCCACCCTCAGCTGAGTCAGGTTTCATGGTCCATTACTCAAGAAGACCTAGGCCGGCCCATGGCCAGGCATCAGGAGGTCACAGCCTTCCTGAGCTTCATCCATCACATATAACAGCCCAGGAGGGTTGAGATAGGGCTACCAGAGTCCATAGCTGAAGAATAACTGTGACTGGGACCTTGGAGTCAAGACTGATTCTTCCGCTCAAGAAGAAGCTAGAGGAAATTGGGGCTCCAACCCTTACTCTTCAGTCTGCTGTTCTGACCCCCACAGCTGAGAAGAAAGTTCCCTGAGAGTCCTCAGTGCTGAACCCCCAGGGGAGGAGTCACTGCATAACCACTGAACACTGGCCAGTTTTTCCATCATGGCTTGGACTCGTCTCCAGCTCTTGCTCTTTTCTCTGTGCACAGGTGACCTGCCCAGGCCTGGTCCCAAGTTCTACCACCACAGGGCCTGAGCCGTACCTGCCCCAAACTATGAGCTCAGCCCAGGCATAGTCTGTGGTGGGATCTACAAATGGGTCATTGCTCCACAGTCCCCCTCTCTTCCTCTTGTAGGTGCCGTGGCCTCCTGTGTCCTGACACAACCACCTTCAGTGTCGGTGGCCCTGGGAGAGACAGCCACCATCACCTGCTCTGCAGAGGCACTGCCAGAAAGTTATGCATATTGGTTCCAGCAACAGCAGCAGGGACAGACTCCTGTGTGAATAATACACAAAGATAGTGAGCGGCCCTCAGGGATCTCTGAGAGATTCTCTGGCTCCAGCTCAGGAAAGACAGCCATGCTGACCATCAGCAGAGCCCAGGCCGAGGATGAGGCTGATTATTACTGTTTATCAGCAGGCAGCAATGGTAAGTAGAGCACAGTGGTACAGACAGTTGGGGAGCTGAGACACAAACTCCTTCACTGGCCATGTTAGCATTCTTCCTCCACCACCAGGAAGACCAGAGACAAAGCCATGAGCAAGTCTGGTACAGCTCACTCACACAGGACAAATTCTGATGAGTCC